GAAAGGCGAAACGCAGAAATTTTCTGTGTTTTGGGATGATTGGTATGTGAAAATAAGCATCTTTAAGATCGATGGAAACAAACCAGTCGTTTTTCTGGATGTTGTCCAACAGCTGTCTGTTCGTCAACATGTGAAAAGGTCTGTTCATGATCGCTTTGTTGAAAGCTGACAGATCCAGAATCGGTCTCATCCCTCCGGTCCTTTTGGGGACCAGGAAGTAGCGTGAGTAAAACCCTGTGTTTTCCTCCTCGTTGGGAACTCTTGAGATTACACCTTTTATCAGAAGCTCCTGGACTTCTGCATTTAAGGCTGAGACTTGGTCTGGTGATGATAGGACCGTCTCTATAACTCCTCCGAACGGAGGGGGTCGGGTTGCAAACTGCAGCGTGTAACCCTTGCATAACACTCTGTCCATCCATCTGTCCGGTGAGCATGTTTTTAACCACTCTGCGTGACGTTCGTGGAGTGGACGTGCGTTTAAATGATGTGCCGTGTTTTGAACGGATGTCATCCAAACCTCCGCCTCGACCGCCGTCATGCGTCGCGGAAATGTTTTCCGCGTGACCCAAGGCGAGGCTTTCTCGAAAGGGCTGTTCTGCGCGCGCCCGTGCGCTGTGACTGGATCGCGGACCAACCTTCATGTCCGGGCGGGGCGGTGTGCGCTGAGGCGAGGCGTGTGTCAGCTGGTGACGTCCAGAGGCTGCACGTTTAACGTCGCTGTGCGAACGTTGAGAGGTGGAGGGCGTGACGTCATCAACGCCGTGCTGTCGAAGTGAAGGTTGTGAACTTCGCGGGAGCGCACGTTTCCTCTGGAGGGACGCGCGCCGCTCTCGCTGAGGGCGGGGCCCGTCATTGGATTCATTCAGCTGTCTCACGCTTATGTCGCCGTGAGCTGCTGATCGCAGAGGCGCGATGGATGACGGCTGTTCGCGTTTATTCAGGAAAAACGTGTGTTGTTTTTGCTGAGAGCGGGGACCTCCACCGGACCCGGCCTGCGGTCCCACATTTATCCCGATGTGAGCCGGTGAGCGCCGGGCAGCTGTGCGTGCATCATCGGCACAGTGCCGTTTGGATGGACGCTGCTTGTCTCGCTCGGGTGCGCGTTTAACACCGTTTGAGTGGTGATCGTGCGGTTCTGTTTGACAACAAGATATTTCGCTTACCGTGGTGTCACGTGAGCGTCTGGGCATGTGAAGGAGCGGCGGTGGGTTTAAAAAACCTTTATTTAATGCCACCGGCTCTCTCTGTGTGGAGGATGTGTGTGTAGCGGCTGTGAGCTCATCCGAACTTACAGACTGGCTAAAAACAGGCATTCTGATTTTTGAAAAATCATTTATTTCACTTCCTGTTTCGTTCATACACACATCCCCCGCAGACCGTCATTTCTTAAACCTTCTCCCTCGTGAGCTCTGCGGTTTGTTTGACCCGAGCGCCGTCTGCAGGCGATCTCTGGGGAAACGCTGAAGTGCAGGCTGCCGGGCTGAGGAGGGGTGGTCTCTGGCGGGCGGGGCTGGTGGTGGAGCTGGGCGAGACGAAGCTGCTGCTGCTGCCGTGGAGCGTCGGTGCTTCTGCCTCTGCTCTCGACGATCCTTCCAGCGAGCTGGGGGACGGGATGAGCCGCGCGGCTTGATGAGATGACGTACCGCTTCCGACATCTCCTCCGACTGCTTGGAATTCGCCAGCATGGTCTTCAAGCTGCTTCCGAACAGCGCGTCCGATGAGATGGGGCCCTCCATGAGGTCCTTGTGCAGCTTTTCCGGCAGCAATGGAGAGTGACGGAGCCAGATGGAGCGTTGGATTACCGTCATCCATGAAGCAATCCTCGACAGGCAAACCGTGGAAGCGGCGCACATGTTGAGGACGGCGTCTGCCGATTTACACAGGGAGCTCTTTGTCTCCTCCGGCAGGCCTGAGGCCTCCAGCCTCTTCGACATGCTAAATGCTAACAGCGCCACGTTGTTGTTAGCCGCGGCCGCCTGAAAAGCACACTGGTGGGCTCTGTTGGAGAGCGCGGTCGCCACCTGGTCGTGTTTCCCCGGAGGGACGGGACGCTTCTCCAGCCTGGACATCTTCGCTCCGAAGGCTTCCGCGAGGCTTGGCTCAAGGGGGGGTACCGAGGGAAAGCCCCGCTCGGTGAACCCCTCCACTCTGGTGATGGGGGCGTAAGTGGAGACGGGCGCCCTTAACCTACCAGGACCGGCTGCGGCCTCGTTCCATACCATAAGCACAACAAAAATGTTGTAGTTTACATTAAAAGCAGCGTTATGACAAGATTGTTTTTCAAAAAGACACATTTTTACTGTCGACACAAAAATGCAAGAATGGAGTTTCAAGAAATCATTGAATATATTCCCAATAGCTGAGAGGACAGAACATGAAGCAACATTTAGAGCTGAAATACTAAAAAACTTTCATAAGATGGAGTTGGTGAGTGATGTGAATGAACAGCACCACAATTCAGAACCTGGAACAGTTATAAGATGTGAGGTCATTTTGAGAACAAAGAGCTCATTTGTTCTGTAGGACCTGCTAGCACCATTTATTAGTCTGTTTTAAATTCCAGTGACATGTGTGACGAAGGTAAAGCGAAAAGTCACAAACACATAGAAGGAAGAACAAGGAAGTTGCTCCTCAATCTGACCAAACAGACAGCAGATACATACAGAGATCCTGAAACCAGCAGGAGAATGTAGCTGGTTGTAAATGACCCAATAATCCCAGTACTAGCCTGAACACACCGACTGTCCATCTCTCTGACACCTGACAGACAGAAACTCCCAGATTGAGCTGTGTTTCACAGAATTAAACATCATTCAGAAGGGAAGAAGCACCCGTACAGTAAAAATAGAGCCTTGTACATCTGTGGTTCCCCGGACACTTATATATATTTACATGTACATATGCATATGTATATACATATATGTATATGTATACTTAGATGTGTATGTATGTATACATTTATATAGGTTAATCTTGAATGTAGCACCCCCTACCACCTTGTGCATATGCATATTGTATTTTTCCAAATTTGTGTATTCTGCTTCTTTTGTGATTATTTCATATGTATTTTTTCTGTATACTGTAATTAGAACATGCTACTGGATGACTTGAATTTCCCCCTGGGGTTAATAAAGTATATATCTAAAGTACAGTTTGTGGGGAACAAAATATTGCAAACCAGTAAGTTTTATTTTTCAGGTAACTGTGTTTATGACACAACTAACAGCATTGGATCTAGTTGATCTTTTTTAAAGTCATAGATCCCATTGATCAGATTGTTTGGTCAAAATGATGTCAAAGCTGAGTCACAGTCATGTTAACTATGAAACTGCCCTCTCCGACTGGCTCAGACATGGCAGCTGAAAGTCTATCAAAACTCACCGGACGTCGTTTTGAGGCGTAGGTTTCTTCTGTCCAACCAGGTTCACTGTTCTGGCTTGGATCGGCTTCTCTTCTCTGAAAGACAGTTAGACAAATATAGTCAAGTTCATGTCCTGATGCTGCTCAATAATCCAGGTAGATGAATCTAACCAGGTTCAGTCAGGTCCTCTGGATGGATTCTAATCTGTCCAGAGGACCTGACTGAACCTGGTTAGATAGTTATGTTAACTTTTTGCTGTTTCATTCCTGTTAACCTTCTGGTATCTTCGATCTGTAATTTAAAATAAGTATTAAAACAAACCAGACTGATGAAATTCCTGAGTTCAATTTAAAAACATGTAAACACAATTTAAGACAATAACAAGCTACGTTAAGACGAGTTAGGCTAAGTTAAGACACTAAGATAAGATAAGCGTAGACATGTAAGATAAAATGCTATGGTGTAAGATTTAGTGATTTGATTGTCAGATTATAACTCTCCTTCTAACACAGCTTTGTTTCCTGTTGCTGATACAGTAAGCTCATTTTAAAATTATTCCCCTACAATGTTAGGGCAGACATGTTCTACCACTTGGAATGGTCTGATCCCTGGTATTATTTTTAACATTTATTTTATATTGTATGGTAAATGGACTGTACTTATGGTGCCTTTCTATCTTATCAAGATACTCTCTTTACAACACAATCTGTGTCCTCATTTACCCATTCATACAGCACTCTACTAGAGCTATACACAGAATAATCAGTGCTATAGATCACATTCATACACTGATGGGACACACATCAGAGGCAATGAGGGTTTCAGTGTCTTTCCCAGAGACACGTCGGCATGTGACTGCTGGTGGAATCAAACCCCCAAATCTCGCATTGGAGGACGGCAGCTCTAACCACTCAGCCACAGCCGCCCCGATGTATGAAGAACAAGCTGGGCCTTCCTGCTGCTGTTATTTTCAAAGTTGAGACAAGCTGAAACAAGTTAAGACATGTTACTATAAGTTAAGACAAGCTGGTCTTAATTTGTCTTAACTGCTATGACAAACGAAGAGTACTTAAGACACACTATGAGAAGTTAAATAGTTTAAGGCAAGCTAAATACAGTAAATGTAGCTACAGTTTTTAAGAAAAATTAAGATATAAGTTATGTGTTGAGGCAATCAAAATGTGGGTGGGAAAGGTGGAGCACTCACACCTGCCTCCACCCTCATTTGACCCACTCTGGGCCCTTGTGCAAGACCCTTAACCCCCACCATCTGCTCTCCCAGGTGCCCTAGATGGCAGCTCTCTGCTCCACACAGAGGGCTGTGGTAGCTCAGTGGTCTGTGGTTGTGTCAGGAAGGATATCCAGAGTAAAAATTCCGATAAACACAAAATGTTATGGGGACAGGCAGAACTTTAATGACATCTACCTTGAGTCTGTGTCGGTCCATTCAGATTTGAAGCATCCAAATTAAATGACCATACCAGTGGAACATGCCTGAGAATAATCCCGGAGATCTGATCTGTTCTGCCAGAAGTCTGGGTGCTCGAGGCACGAACCAAGTCATCATATAAGGCAGGAAGCCTGACCAGGTCCAGATTTGCTGCCGACAACTTCCTTGTTTGTTGATAGACCAGGAAACAGCCAAATCCAAAAAGCAAGAACCAGTTATCATAAATCCAATTATAAATGTCCTTAAAATCCACAGATGACAGCAGAGATAGACACGTCATCAAGTCATCAAAGTTGATGAGATATCCAGCTGCGTGCATGCCAACAGGGCAAATTGGCTCACCTAAAGCCTGTCTTCTCTTCAAAGAAATGTTATCAATTGTGTTGAGGGACCAACTGATCAAATCCAAGTCCATAGTTATGATTCGGAAGATTTGTAGAAGAGAGGCTCTAAAGCAGTTTCACAGACAGGACAGAGCAAAAGCAAAGCGGATAGGGAAAGGAGAATACGTCCACCCTTGAGAAGTGTTGTATGGATGTATGTATGCATAGATGAATGTCTGTCTGTATGTATGTATGTATGTATGTATATATTGATGGATGGATGGATGGATGTATGTATGGATGGATGTATGTATGTTACTTTGATGGATTTATACCTGGATTATTTAGCATGAACTTTGATGGATTAGTACCTGGATTATTGAGTATGTATGTATGTATGTATTGATGTATGTATGTATGTATGTATGTATGTATGGATGGATGGATGGATAAATGTATGCATGTATGTATGTATGTGTGTATGTATGTATGTATGTATGTATGTATACATGGGGAGTGGTGGCGCAGAGGTTAGAGAGGTGGGCTTGTGATCCGAAGATCGCCGGTTCACGCCCCGGCCCCGACAACATCAAAAATTGTGGGTGGGGTAGGTGAAACACCCACACTTGCCCCCACCCTCATTCGCCCCACTCTGGGCCCATGAGCAAGGCCCTTAACCCCACCATGTGCTCCCTAAACAGGTCTCTCTTGAAAATGAGTTCTTGTGGCTCAATGAGACTAACCTGGATAAATAAAGGCTAAATGAAAAAAAATAAAAATGTATGGATGTATGGATGGATGGGTGGATAGATGGAGCCAAAGTAAACTGATCAGTTCAGCTGGACTTATTTCCTTGTTTGATAATCAGGCCTACTCTTAACAATCATCAGGTTTGCTTTGGAGACTTTTTAAGATAAAATCCTGTTTAAAGATCATTCAGTCAGTCATATGTTCCCATACAGGAAGATTTTATGTCATTGGGTGCCATCAAGATATTTGGAGTTTTAAATGGCAGTCTTGGTTCCGTCTGTCCACATGGACAGAGTAAATCAGGTCCTGTGATTCAGTGGAGTCCGACGGGCCTTAGCACACAGACAATCCCTGCCAACATGAACCATTGGTCACAATGATGACATACTGTACATAGTGTAGATTTCAGTAAATATAAAAACGAACACAGATCACCATCAGAATGAGTTGTGAGGTGCGGTGGAGCCATGATGTTACTGTAAAATAACACAGAGGTGGTTTAACTCATGAAACTGGAGGTGACTAACAGAAGCAATGCTGGGAGTTTACCCACATCCTTGGACGATCCAGAACAATACATTTCATTCAACTTTTATTTAGACAGGTAAATCCCACTGAGCCTTGAGGACTCATTTACAAGAGAGACCTGATTACAACAAATCACACAAAGACTGATGACTGGGATGGGTCAACATTCTCTTTCAAAATGTTTCTGAGTTCACTGAAACTTTGGAAGTTTATGTATCAGTCTCTATATAAGACGTAATCTGTGCTAAGCGTTATGTGAATAAGTCCAACAAATGGAGCAATAAGTGTCTTTCTAAGAAGTTAGAGTCAGAGGTTCATTATTGTCATTCACACCACATGTGGTACATGTGGTGGAACGAAATTGTGTAGACAGGGTCCCAGTTACATGCAGCAATAAAAAGTAAAATAAAAAAACAGCAAAAAGATCTAAGATATGAATTAAGAAAAGCATCAACTAAAAATATGCTGAGCACTAATAGCATAAAAACAATAACAAATACTAAACACTAAAATTCCTTCACTGGCTCTGAGACGGCCCAAAAGGCTGAACAGTAACGTTCAGTCAGGTCCTCCAGACGGTTTCTTTATGTTGAAACATTTCATTTCTCATCCAAAGGACTTGGTCAGTCCGAGGAGCCACAACAAACTCAGTTCCACAAGCAGCACACTCACATAGTGGTTCAACCAGTTTGATGGTTTAAAGATGGTTTCTGGAGTCTGTCCTCTCCCCCATTGACTCGTCTGAGGCAGCCATGGTCAAAGTGGCCAAAGCTGCTGGACATGGGCAAATGAAAGAAACCGTCCAGAGGACCTGACTTAACATTGTTGGATTTTTTTTACCTGGATTACTAAGCATGAACTTTGATGTTCTGAAGCACTTTCACTATGGCTGAGTCAGACGTGTCGGCGGGGGAGAGGGCGGACTCCGGAAACCATTTTATCACCATGAAACTAGTTGGACCAATATGTGAGCATGCTGCCTGAGTTGGTTGTGGCTCCGCAGCCTGATGAAGTCCTTTGGATGAAGGATGAAGCATTTCAACAAAAAGAAACAGTTCAGAAGACCTGACTGAACTTTGATGGATTCATACCTGAACTTTTGAGCATGAACTTTGATGGATTCTACCTGGATTATTGAGCATGAACTTTGATGGAT